AAATATATTATAGGTGAATCTTAATGATTAAGAGTGCAATTTTATTGATCGACTGGAGAAATAATTGTTGGGATACAAAGATAGAGTAGAAAAAATAAGGGCTTGATTGTTTATTAATTATTTCATTCTCATTTGTTTCATACTTAAAATCTAACTCAATTTTAATTCAACCCCACTATCTTTAATATTATTTATATAATTAAATAATACAAACCAATCATTCTTACACATCACATCAACTTCAATTCACTATTCACCCACTCACATAATTTTAACTACAATCATTTATCTCATACTTTTACATCAAATCAATTATAATCATTTTATTTTAAATATTATTATAATACATTCTTAAAATTCCACTAACAACTAACCATACCACATTTTTCAAAATTAACTATGGTTAACCAAAATAATTCATTTTGAACAAATTATTTCATAAACAATCACCCCTAAGTATTTCATAAATTTGAAATAATGTTAATGGTTAATAGCTAATTGTAATGTGTAGAGATCTACTAAAATAAGTATGATTTTTATAGAGAAATTATAATAATAATTATTTTTTATTTTAAAAAATATATTTAGAAAATTGAGAAAATTTATTGATGAAGTAAATAATAGTATATTTTTTATGTGATGGTTTAAAAAATATATTTTTATTGTAAATATCCAATCCACCTGGGTCCCCCATAAAGTTTTTTTAAACATAAAAATAGAAATATCTTTCTTCAATGAGAAAAATCACGGTTGTACTCGGACATAAACTGATAAAATAAAATAAAATATCAAATCGAAGGTACGGAAGATAGAATCAAACTTCCCCTATATTTTTCTACTCGTTCATTTCTTCTCTCCTTATCTAAAAAAAATTCCCCAAAAAAGAATATGCAGGCCAAAGCAATGGCCCGGACCACCGCCGCCACCCCTATCTCCGCCGCCGAACCCCACCACGCCGCCGCCTTCCCCTCCCTCAGACCTTCCTTCCCAATCAAACCCGCCTCAATTTCTCCTCTTCCCACCAAATCCAGATCGACAGCGATCTGCGCCGTCCAACCTCCCAACCCGCCGCCGTCCTCCGCCGCTACCGTGACCCCCTCGCCAAAAAGATGGAGTCTTGAAAGCTGGAAATCCATGAAGGCGTTCCAGATCCCGGAATACCCGGAAAAGTCGGTCCTCGAGTCGGTCCTGAAGACGCTTGAATCCTTCCCTCCTATAGTATTCGCCGGCGAGGCTCGCAGCCTCGAGGAGCGTCTGGGACAGGCGGCGCTTGGTAATGCATTCCTGCTGCAGGGAGGGGATTGCGCGGAGAGCTTCAAGGAATTCAGCGCCAACAACATTAGGGATACTTTCAGAGTACTGCTGCAGATGAGTGTGGTCCTCATGTTTGGTAGTCAGATGCCTGTTATCAAGGTGTTTCTTTTTCCTTTATTTTTTTGCGGTTTTTATGCTTATGTTAGATGAGTTTGTTTGAGTACTCTGTTTTTGTTTATACATGGAAATATCAATTTGATTATGACTGGGAGAATCTTTCTGTGCATGGGCCATTGTAACTAAAACTGAATTCTGAGAAGCAATCGTCTCATTATTTTGTTTCAGAACGGTTGCATTTGTCCACAGGTCTTGTGTTTTGCGTATAAGAACCTTAAAAAGTTGTTTTCATGCTTAACTTTGAAAACTTAACTTCCATAAGCCATAGCATGGGATTTATTGAATATTTATTTAGTTTTTGTGTTATCTTGATTGCTTAGCCATCTAGTTCTTTCTAGAGTTACAGAATGGGGGGTTTGGAACATATAACATAGCAATGGCAAATTAATTCGAATTTCTCAATGACAGTGGCCTGATTGGATCGTGCAGTTTCCCTTAATTTGCTCTTGACAGCTTTACTAACATTACAATTTTGCAAGATTTAAAATTTCCTTGCCGAGAAAACTCTTTGAATGGGGAGAGTTGGTTACGAATCACTATGAGGTCAATCCCATATTTCTCTAAAGCAGTAAGAGCATGTGATAAAGTCAAATATCGGTGTCTAAATATTTTCACAACACTTTCTTACCTTTCCCCGAAGATGGATTAGTAATGCTAAGCACGAGTGGCTTACATTACATAATCGAGCGATTGAATTTTTTCCTGTGTTGCGAGTGTATTATTTTAGGTGGGAAGAATGGCGGGTCAGTTTGCTAAGCCGAGATCAGACCCGCTTGAAGAAAAGGATGGGGTGAAGCTTCCGAGTTACCGTGGAGATAATGTGAATGGCGATGCTTTTGATGAGAAATCGAGAACTCCGGATCCCGATAGAATGATTAGAGCTTACACACAATCTGTGGCCACATTAAACCTTCTTAGAGCATTTGCTACAGGAGGGTATGCTGCTATGCAGAGGGTCACACAATGGAATCTTGATTTTACTGAACACAGTGAACAAGGTGACAGGTATGCTGCTGTCCTCTTTCATTAACTTTTTTTTTTTTTTGGGTGTTTCCCTATAATTACCAGTCACTGAGGTTTTGCGTAGTTATGAAAAGCAAACATATTCATTTTCAAAAGATGTGAATAACACAGAGACCTCAACTATGTGTTTTCTTGCACTTGGCCTGCTAACTTCTCTTTTACTATTTTCACTCTACAATCAATCTATGCATTATTTTTCACCTCTGCCATTTAACGAAATAAAAGATGACATGTATGCGTCTTTGTTCTTGATCTGTGTTGAGTGTTGTCTAGACTCTTTAACTTTTCGAGTTCTTCCTAGGGGTATCTCTAAATTTTTAATAAATTGTTCTCTTTTTAATAAAATGTAATTTTTGTGGTTAAACGTGTTACGTTTTTACTCCACGGAGAGAGATTTTCAAATGTTTTCAACTATTTTTAAAAGGTATCGTGAACTGGCTCACCGAGTGGACGAGGCCCTTGGCTTCATGGACGCCTGTGGCCTTACTGCCGACCACCCCATGATGACCACCACAGAGTTCTGGACCTCACACGAGTGTTTGCTTTTGCCTTACGAACAAGCCCTGACCAGAGAAGACTCGACTTCGGGCCTCTATTATGACTGCTCGGCCCACATGCTCTGGGTCGGGGAAAGAACAAGGCAGCTCGATGGTGCTCATGTCGAGTTCCTTAGAGGAGTTTCTAACCCCTTAGGAATCAAGGTTTGCTACACAATTGCTTTCAAGATGTGAATTGTGCTTGAATATAAGATAGTTTGACTTTGTTTGGATTTTTTGGTTTGGTATAGTTGGTTTTGAAAAAAGTGGTACGGTTGAAATTAGTGGGGTTTTGAGTTTATATTAAAATAATATTTAAAATGAAATAATTAAAATTGGTTTGATGTAAAAGTAGGAGAGAGATGATGTGAAGTGATGGTTAGTTAAAATTATGTGAGCGGATGAATAGTGAATTAAGTCGGTGTAATGCGTAAGAATGATTGAGTGATATTATTTAATTATATTGATAATATTGAAGATAGTGAGTTTGGGTTAAAGTTGAGTTAGATTTGTGTTAAAAAAAGTGATTGGTTAAAAATGATTAGATTTTTCTGTATCCAAGCAAGCTTCTCTTTGGAAGCAACTTGTTTTATACATATTAGTCTAATATGTCCATGTCTTCCTCAGAGGCCACATGAAAAGGAACTAATTTCAAACTTCAATAACTATTCATGAGCTCTATGACTTACTTAAAAATTTGCCAGTTATGTTCCAAAATGGTAAATAACCCTTTCTGTTTGTGTTTCCTTACATATATTACAGTATTGAAATGCAATTTGCATTGTTTGTGTATATTCTGAAAGATAACTCGGTTTTTCTTTCCTAAATGATGAAAAATAGATCTAAATGATGGTATATTTTTTTCTACTTGGCTTTTTCGGTGCAGGTTAGTGACAAGATGGACCCGAATGAGCTAGTTAAGCTCATTGATATTCTGAACCCTGAAAATAGACCTGGAAGGATCACAGTCATCACAAGAATGGGGGCCGAAAACATGAGAGTCAAACTTCCTCATCTGATTAGGGCTGTCCGAGGAGCGGGCCAAATCGTGACTTGGGTCAGCGATCCTATGCATGGGAACACCATCAAAGCTCCCTGTGGACTCAAGACTCGCTCTTTTGACTCAATCAGGGTATATATATATATATATATTATATTTGTACCCTCTGCTTTAATCGTTGATTTTGCTTTGGAAAAAATTCAACTATTTGAATCTCTCTATGTGTGTGTGTGTGTGTGCAGGCTGAGGTGAGAGCATTCTTTGACGTGCACGATCAAGAGGGAAGCTTCCCAGGAGGTGTGCATTTGGAGATGACTGGTCAGAATGTGACTGAATGTGTTGGTGGGTCCCGCACCATTACTTACAATGACCTCAGCTCGCGTTACCACACGCACTGTGACCCGAGGCTCAATGCTTCTCAGTCTCTGGAGCTTGCTTTTATCATTTCCGAGCGGCTGAGGAGGCGAAGGATTGGGTCTCAAGCCACTGGTTCATCTCTCAGGATGTGAGCTCTCTAAGGACCTTCTTTAGCACCTTTTTATTTAGTTTGAACAAGGATTGTGTTTTGGCTATTACTATTAGTATTACTTTTATAGTGGTTTGTGTATGTGACTTATACGTGTTGTTGTAAAAATGTGTATAACAATAGTATTGTTTAATTTTGTATTCAGTCTATACTATATACTATATTATAAAAAAGAGGAGTTTGTTTTGTAAAATGTTGGGAGCCTAATCATAGTAATTGTCAATATTTAAAGGAAGTTGTCGCCTTTTGTGAATAGTAAGTGCAATCTTATTGGTAATTGAGCATGGAAATATGTGGAATTATTCTAATTTACTTCCATACAACGTGTGGTGATTTTAGTATAATTTATAATGTAACCAAGATGTGTCTAATATTTTGAAAACTTTGTTTAAAAACTTTGGTAGCTTGGTGGTTTAACGGCCTTAAGTCCCGGGGGTTTTGTCCTTGCTTAAGGCACGTAGTTGGGGTTCGTTTTTAGACCACTCTTTGAGTGGATCTCTCATGGTTTTAGGTGCGGCTTTGTCTTGTTTTTTTTTGTTTCCGGGTTTGTTTCCGGCTTGTGAAAACTTTGTACGTGCGCTTTTGGTTAATGGAGTAAANGTTTAAAATTGCTAAAAAAGCTAACAAATTTGTAATCTTCTCACAATGGTGTGAGGAGGGTGGGTTCTTTGACCGGGGCAGTTTCGGCTCTAGTCGTTATTGGTTGCGCTCGTCGAATAGTCTCGGGGGTTGAGATTGGCGTGGGGCTCCTTATATTGTCCCGGTTGTGTTACCTTTCGGAAGAGGTGTTCATCAATCCGAATTTAGTTACCCGTTATTAGGAGTTTTTAGATTCACGTGTTGGGCCGCGAACTGTATCTTATCTCTTTGGGTGGTTGCTCTTGGGGTGTTTGGTTCAAGTGGTGAAGGTGGGGTGTTGTTTACCGGCTGAAGAAGAGGGTTTTAGTTTTATCTAGTATTAGGTGTTTTCTTGTAGTTTGTTTCGTTGTGGGTTGTGTGTTTTTGTGTAGTATTATTCTCATTTGTAAGAACGTGCATTCTCAACATGTGGGAGTTCTTATTTCTGTTTAGTGGGTGGATTAGTTGTGTTGATTCTAAGTTCCTTAATTTCGGGTTAGTCCTCTCACTAGATTCAGTTGAATAGCTGCTTTAATTGGCTGTTTTGGCTAATCAAGATGTAAATATATATTTTTATTTATAAATCCTATCGTTCCCATAAATAAAAAAAATAAATAAAAAATTAACATTCAACAAAAATTTAACTATTTTAAATTTGAGTTAATAAATAATTTAATTTTTATTCATAAGTTATTTTTATATGTCATGTGGGTTTCAAATCAAATAGTACAAAATATATTATTTGATATCCTATACGTGAAATAAGGATGATAAATAAATAAATAGTATTATAAATTTTATAATATATTCAGAATTTAAGTTGGTTTACTCTTTCTATAATTTTAAAAATTCTAATAAACAGTGATAAAATTTCAAATCTATATAAAATACTCCGAGCTAGTAGAAGTTTACCCATAGAAATACATACCATAAATTGATGAAGCACAAGAATTGAATCATATGTGTACGGATCACCACATAATGTTATGGAACAACATGAGTTAATGCATAGGTTCAAAAAAGTTGCATTTATATTTAGAGGGGATTTGTTTTCTATTAAACTCATATCCTACTACACAAAATGAGTCGCATATCAACTTGGCTCGTTTAAGCACAAACTCGTGTAAAGCTCGTCTAGTTATCAAGTCCGACTCGTTAGACTTGATAAACATGAGATTCTACATAATTTTCTAAACTTTTAGTATTATTCAACTTGTTAAAACTCGTCAACAAATAGAGTCGAACTAAATTAGCTCGACTCGTTTATATCTCTACTCATTCATGTCTTAGTCTTCTTATCCTGAAATTATACTACACCAAAAGAGCCGTGGTCAACTCATTCGTTCCAATTTAGCACTTTCTTTGAAAAGATGGACTGTGTCGTATAGCCCATCAATTGGCCCACCTTGAGCCTCAGCCCATCAACTACAATTATTATTGATTGCTGCCTAACGCCTAATTAAATTAGACACGTTCGATAATTATGCACAATAATAATCCAATACAGCCCAATCCATTTGGTAGCAATCAACGTCTTTTCACTAGTATCTTTCACGTAAAACCCGTGCGTACATTGTATACACGCGCTACCTCATCTTAATAATAATAATAATAATCTTAAAAGAAAAAAAGAGATAGTTTCGGTTTTTTAATGTCATTTATAAAACTATTGGGACATGAAAATTAGCATTCTTCTAATATAATAAAATGATAAAATTCCAGTGGGATATAGTTCAATGGCAATTTCAAAGCAAAGAAAGGAGGCGGTTTTCCAACGGCATGATTGAGTTTGAGGGACTTTCGCCGACTTAACCCAGAAACCGTTACTCACTGTCATTGGTACTCCTCTGTACAGTTCGCTGAAGATAGCGAAGAAGTTTCACTGCTAGGGTCGATGTTATTGAGGTTGACTGGGTATCAGTTTTACGTCACTTTCTTCGTCAACATGGGAATCCGAAACAAAGCACTGCTGCTAATCCTTTGTCCCTTTCTAAATCCAGCTTAAAAGAGTAAGGGAAGTTATCTTTATTACATTCTCTGTGCTCCACTCTTTTCCCAGAAATACCGATGGGGATGGTGTCTCTAATACGGCTTCTGCCTACGGGCTCACGGCGGGAATAAGCGCTGCGCAAAGGAAGAGATAAGAGTGGCTAGGCGAGATTTATCATACATTTCGGTGGGAAATTAGGATGAGGAGGAGAGCAAAGTGAGACTCTAAAAACGAAGTGAAACGAAGTGAAGTCATAGAAGTTCAGTTTGAAGATGCTCGACAGTCCTAGGAAAGACCTTTTCTCGCTTCGGAGCCCGTTTTCTCCCCCAACCGAGATATCTTCTGTTTCGCCCCTTTCCCCAAAGTCGATGACTATTCATAGCTATTACCTTGACACCAAAGAAGAGTTCGAATGTCGTTACTTCCGTTGGAATTTTTCATTAAATTCTAATGAAAATAGTAGATTTTTTACGGTTGAAATTCTCATTGAAATACATTATCGTCGAAATATGGAAATTTTATTGTATTGTTTTTTATGCTACTTAATAATTAACAAAAAAGAATGATAATAACACGTTAACACTATAGGATACTATCCATGTTGTATGCACAAAACGGTAAGAATTAATGGAAATGAATTGAGCAGTGCAAACCAACTTCTCTTATGCTTAAATTACTGCTAAAATTTGCGTGAAAGAAATATAGCACCTAAAATAATTTGGGGAATCGGCTTGAGCATTAGTTCGGGTGTGGGTATTTCTAAGGAGCTCGACCAGTTCATTCTTAGTACATAACCTCGTCAAGGAGCTCGCTTAGGAAGCTCAAGGTACAATTCGGCTCAATCAGTGAGATAGGAGTTCGGAGAACCTCAGGAGCACGAATACTCATGAGGACCTCAAGTCCAAGAAGGTCTAATACATACATGTTTTCTCGACCTGCTCACGAGCCTCCTCGACCAGGCCAGCCTTTATCTTCGCGACCTCAAGGGCTAGCTCCCACCAAGGATGATTCTTGAGGATCTTGGGATCGTTCGTCCAACCTTCAAGGTCGGGTATCCCTTTGACAAGTGCAGAGCCATCCCATCTGCTGGTATAACCCCCAGCCACAGCCTGAGCCCTGGTGCAGTTGCTGTCGATAATGAAGTATTGCTTGCAGGCTGGGTAGATCCAGGTCAATAACTCAGAAGCACCCCATCAGCTCGAGCCTATATTTCTAGAGGAAGCGAGCTCTGGGGATTGAGGAGAGAAAGAAAGAATGACTTTCTCACGGGCACGTTTAACCCGTTTGTCCATGGAGCCCTTTAGATTACCCAGCTTGGCATCCTTCTTCGCAAACTTGGCACCCTTCGCTTGTAGTTTAGCATCCTTGGTCGTGAGTTGGACAGTCAACTTTGCAACCTCGCTCTTGTGGAGGTCGCGTGCCTCCTGCAGACTGGCAAGCGCAGCTTCACTAGTCTTGACCGCTTCTTTCATTGGACGACCTCGTCAGAGTCGCCCTCTAAGGATTCATGGAGGATGGGGGCCAAGCCGGACAACGTCTGTAGGACTAAAGTTGTAAAGAGTTCTTCTTTTTTTCTCTTAAAGACAAATAAGTATGTTCACATAAGGACAGAAAAATAGTAACTACATGGATGAGGTGATAGATCATAGAGCCAACTCGGGACTTCTTTTTGACCTTCCATTGGGAGAGATAGGTTTTCTCATTGAGGAAGATGGAGAAAATGTAGAAGGCTTAGGCACCCACATCTTTAGTAGAAAGAGGAAATACAAACGTCGAGGTTGCGAGTGAGCCGTTGGATCAACCATCTGGGTGGTCTAGATTGACCAGAGAAGATGAATTTGGAAGATGTCAAAGGTTGACAGATCACCGCGAGCATCCATTTCAAAAGAATCTATGGCGCAGAACAAAAGTAGCGTACCACGGTTTTGAAGAGACGTTTCTGACAGGCACAGTTACCAAGGTCGCACAATTCATGGCTTTAAAGGTTGGCACGACAACTGGCCATAGTAAATCATTCTTGTACAAGTCTGAGTAAGAATAGAGGGGCTATATATATGATATAGCACGCATAATAGCTTGGAGAATCGACCTGAGTGGTTAGTTCGGGTATGGTCGGTTCGAGGGAGCTCAGTTGGTGATTAGTACACAACCTCGTCAAGGAGCACGCTTAGGCATCTCAAGCTACAGGTCGGCTCGACCAGGGAGCTAGAACGTCTGAGAACCTCAGAAACTCGGACACTCGTGGGGACCTCATGACCTGGAGGTCGTAGAGGTGGAGGTTGTGGTTACGATATGGGCACAACTCATAGAGATGTTAAACGGGCTAGTCCTGGCGGTTTCGGGCTAGCCCTAGCGGGCTTCGGGTTAAACGGTCCGGGCCTAAAAAGCCCGGATTTAAACGGGCTACCAAAAAAAGGACCTAACCCTAACCCTAGCGGGCTTCGGGCTAAACGGGCTATGCGGGCTATGGCTATAATAATAATAACAATAATAATAATAATAATAATAATAATAATAATAATAATAATAATAATAATAACAATAATAATAATAATATATACAAAATAAAAAATAAAAAGAGTAAAAATTATAAAACAAATAACAACGGCTAGTTAAAAATTGTTTTCAACGGTTATTTAGTAATTACCGTCTATCACTATGTTTCATGTCTTTCTTATTAGTCGTTCTGATTGGCTTAAATATTTTG